GACACAAGAATAGAAAATCAAACACCACATGTTCTCACTCATAGGCAGGTGTTGAACAATGAGAACACATGGACACAGGGAGGGGAGCATCACACACTGGGGTCTGTTGTGGGGGGAATAGGGGAGGAACAGTAGGGGTAGGGAAGTCGGGGAGGGATAACATGGGGCAAAATGCCAGATATAGGTGATGGGGGGATGGAGACAACAAACCCCATTGCCATGTATGTACCTATGCAACAATCCTGCATGTTCTGCACATGTACCCCAGAACCTAAAGTGCAATAAAATATATATACGAACAAAAAAAAATCATAACATTTCATCATTAAAAAATGTTAATTGCTTTAGATTGTTAACCACTTTATCAGGTTAAGAAATTACCTTATGTTCCTCATTTTCTAAGAGTTTTTCTTTGATTCGCTAGTTTGATTAATTATATTTATAGATTGTCTAATGTTAAACTATTGTTGAGTTTCTGTGACAAAACTGATTTGGTCATAACATCATCATTTTTATTGATTGTTGAATGTAGTTTGCTAGTATGTGTTTAGGATTTTAAAATCTATATTAATAAATAATAATGGCTTAAAAAAAACTGAGAGCATTTTTTATTTTTGGCAAACATCTACTAAAGAAGTGAATCCTGGTTGTGGTTTGGCAAAATTCTAAGTTGTCACTAGTGGTTTGTGGAAGAATCACCCAATTCTCAAATTATAATGAATTTTAACCTCATTATTTAAAAATGCCACCTGGGTGGTGTCACAAAATAATAATAGCAGTAGCAGTCATCAAAAGATTGGGAATCCCCATATCAAAACAAAAAGAGCAATGGAGATTTGACATTTACAAAAAAACCAGACAGGATCTCTAAAACTGAGAACCAATAATTATAAAGGGCAAGCACAAACATAGAACTTGACTCGTATTATATTTTCTCATGCCAGTTAGGTGATTATAGTTACAACACAGTTTAATAAATTGTACATGGCAATTTCATGTTAAGAAATATTGAAACATAAACAAAAGTTAATGGTAAAAGTAATTTTTTGTTCTAATCATATTTAGACATTTAAGCATAAAGATAAATGCCAGCTACATTTTCAAGACCATATATATGAAACTTAGCTAATTACAAGAGGATACAACAAAATTAGTAAGGGACCAAATATATTTATACTAATAAAATTTTCAAGTCTATTTGAGTTTAGAGTTCATACACAGATATGAATATGTTTTATTTGATATCGTACTATTGAGACAGCCAGCTGGGAGCGTGGGTCCCTGGAAAAACTCCAAGCAGCCTGCCCCCTAAGGCGGAGCCTTAGGAAGTTGGTGCCTTTGGCAGGGGGGAGGGGCCTGGCCCCTTCTCTTCCTGGGTGGAACATAGAATTCAGACTGCTGGACGGAAGCGCTCTAGCAGGGACCCTGGCCAAGAAAGGGTCCTTGTTTCTCTCTTTTCTTCCTTTTCACTCAGTAGAACTCTACTTTACTCACCCTTCAAACCATCTGCGAGCCTAAATTTTTGTGGCTTGTGGGATGGATGGGGCCCAACCCTTGACTAAACTAAGGAAAAGTCCTGCAACACTATCACACATGAAAGGCAAATTCTGAATTTAATCATCACTGAGCATACATGCACACAAAACATGCAACACAAAACATTCAAATTATGCTTTTGTAAACTTTGAAAGTTAAAATTGTCAGAAGTTTGCTAGTTTTGGTGTTGCCAAGCAAAATGCAATGCAGGCATTGTTATTAGTACTTATTTTTTCAGGTCCTGGGACATAGCAGGAAGCAAAGCTGACAGAAGTCCCTCTCTTCATGGAGTTTACACTAGTGTGGAAGGGGAGGTATTTTAAAAAAATTAAGTGAATTATATTTTTCAGAAGTTAAAAGAGTCGTTGAGAAAAATAAAGCAAGAGAGTACATTGTATGTCTCTATCATGCACTTGAGAAATTACTAGGATTTAAGAATTGGAAGAATCTTCAGAGTGTTTATGGGTACCGATAAAAAGAAATTAGAGTGAACAGAAGCTTTAATGGAGATTAGAGAGATGAAATAGAGATTATGACAAGGGAAAGGGAAATTATCCTAACAGACTCTTAGTTGGTAGCAGGCTTAGATCTTGCTTAGAAATCCTTGCTTTTCAGATTAGCAAACAGAAATCCTGAAAGTGTAAAGAGTAGAGAATAGGAAAAAAAAGATATCTTAAAATAGCAGTGATCTACTTAGGTCAGCCCTTTTATCTATTTCGAGTGCAAAGATTTTCTTATGACCCAGAATCAAATATTCTGAGTTTCACTCTACTGAAGGCATTATATATAACTGCAGGGAAAAAGTGTAAAGTTTTGGTTATTTGGATGTTATTTCTGTTGTCCTCAAAGGTAATGCCACTCGTGCCAGTGGATAAGTGTATTATAAGAAAGTCCCTATTTAATAAACATATCCTCTAGGCCTTGCAGGTTGAGACTGGGCCTGGTTGGGGTCTGGCTGACAGGAGTCGCCTGAAATATCCAATTCTAGTCCTTCTTATTTTGGTAATCTGAATTTGAGTGCCCTGGGAGGGCCTTGTTCATTTTGTGGACAAATGCTTTTCTTAGTGATGTTAATCAAATATAATCTATAAAAAGTATTTGTACTTCATCTGATGGTGAACGTGAAATCATTAGCCTGACGATGTCTTGATCACTGAGAGCCAATACTAGGAGCCCATGCTTAAATGAACAAGGAGAAAAGATCTGTTTTTAGAAGGTGGCATCTCAGTTTCCATTCACCATTCTTTGCAGGCTGCAGTGCTGACTCTGTAACCTACAGGACCTTCTGGGCTTACAAGTCATCATGACTTGAGCATTTTTTCCCGAGGCCTAGTACTTCCACAGGGGCAAGATTTGAATACTCATCTGTCATGGGTTTTGCCTGTTGTTCCTGGCCTTGATAACTTTCCCTTCATTTGGCTGAGATAGATAAAAGCTAGTGGACTCTAACTTAAGGGCTGGAAGCCAGCAAGTCAAATGCATATCCAGCAGCACCAGGGGCTGGAAGCAGGAATTCAAATGGCAGCAAATTTCTTGTTGGGTAATGAATAGAACAGAGGAGAGGCAGTGGGTGGGATAAAAAATTAGTTTCCTGAGTTATACTGTAATATATAAAATGGTAATTATAGTCAAGATAATATAGCAAGTTTGAGTTGTAGAGAAACTACTGTAGAAGTCTGGATTACAAATCCTTACAATCTCTAATTCATTAATCATAAGGCTTCTTTACTCAGAGCAGTGTATTTACAGGAAGATTATCACTGTCCCAAATGCAGTATCAAAACATCTTTATTTTGGAGCATCCTTAGATGATCCTCTTGCCTGGCGATTGGATCAGTGCCAGAAAGGTTCAACCAGAAAGCACTGCAGTCATTTTGATCTTACATGTTTTGAAATGTGCCAGTAGGCAGAATATGTATATTTTCCCTAACTTGGAGAAGGCCCAGGAAGGAGCACAGAGAACGATCAAGGAAGTTGAAAATAGAGTCTAGGAGAAGAGTTTAAAAGAAGGGAGCTGTCTTTGGTTGGAGGAAAAAGAGAAAGCAGAAAAATGACAACTCTAGTGGCTTTGAAGTTTACAAAGAGTTCTTACTCAGTTATCCATTTATGCATTTATTTATTTACCCGAAATGCCCGGTAGTGGACCAGGACTTGGCAGAGATAAAAAAACAAAAGCTAGAGGGACACAAAAACAGAGCTCTGGCTTTAAAAGTCTCCTGTCCATTGTCAGTGACCAATAGCTGAACAAAATCAAATGTAGAGTTGGATACAAGTAGGAAAAGAGACTGAAGGGAAGGGATTTGAGGAACTGAAATGCTCGCCAAGGCCAAGGTAACCACGGAAATAAATATACCTCCACCTGCCATTTGTTCATGAGAACAACTGCTGGATAAATGGGGAAGAATTTTCAGAGTGGATTGGGAGAGTTTGTACCAGAAGAAAGAAAGAAAAAAAAGGTTATAGCTTCATTTTGTAGTTTGGATTATTCTGTTTTAGACCTGGTATGGTCAGTATAAAGAAGAGCAACTATTTTCTAATTTCTGCTGTGCACTTCTTCTGTGCTAGACACTGTATGAGTCACGTCGGGGACCATCCGCACCACACAAATAGCAGAAAAGGCAGAAGACAATGATGGCATCCCTTCCCACCACATTGAAGGTGACAGAAAGCCCACTGGCAAGTTTACCAAGAAAACACGTATGTATGATCTCACAGTAACTGGCTGTGTTATTAAGTACTGGGTTCCTCTTGTGCCACAGGTTCTTGGAATTTCCTAGTCTTTGATTTACTGAGGTTTATTATTATTTAGGGCAAAAATGTTGTCACAAATACAGGGATGACCTTTTACTGTATTAAAATAATATAAATAAATAATATATTCAATCTTAGATAATTAAAGTGCCAAGATATAGACTGTTCTTTAAAAAAAAAAAAAAAAAAACGTGAATTTTCTGGTTTAGCTCTCTAACCATTCAAACAGGAAAATTCAAACTCTTCCAGCCATAGTTAAGTCTAGCTTAAAATGTTATTTAAAAAACCAAGACAATAGAAACATAATTTTCTAACTCAGGAGAGCACTTCCTAGTCAATATTTTCAATGATACTCAGTGATCTCTGTGAACATTTGTGTGGGAATTTTAGTTTTAAAATGCTCAAAATTTACTTCTGTGGGTCTCACTCACATGCATACTTCCTCTACCTGAAATTATGAATAATTAAAAAGTCATTTTTACCTTTGTTCTTTTTGCGTATATTATATATAAAATCTAAAATGGATAGCCCATTTCAATGAAATTCTGTGTTTTTAATCAATCTATTAAGTAACACATTCTGAGACTGTATCTACATTATACAAAGTACATTGTTTTCTCCTCAAGATAATGCTAAAATATAAATGACATTCTTTAATTGAAATCTACCCTGTAAACAACATTTGATAAGTCAAGTGTCTGCTCACAGCTTACCCGTCTCACTTCCAATCAAAGGCTGATTTGCAAAATGCTTGACAAAATCCTTCAAAGACGAGAATTCGTTAAAGCCAAATTTAAATGAATATCCAGTATATTCAACGTGAAAGTGTTTAACAGAATCTTTGGCTCTAAAAGGAAAAAAGAAGTATTTAATGTTATTTAAGAAATAAATATCATGCTGAAGGGAAATATGGTCTTAGATGTTAGCATCAATATTAACCTTTTCTAAGAGCTGAGAATTAAGCAATCATTGAAACCATTGTCAATTTTTTTCTTTTTGTTTTTTAAGAGGACCAATTATGTTTTAATACAACAGAATGTAAGACTACAAAATGCTAAAATATTACAAATATTCATGAATTGCTGAGTTCAAACAGTATAAATCAGGTAAAAATATTTCATGACAATTATTTCTTTTTTTAAAAAAATTATACTTTAGCCGGGCGTGGTGGCTCAAGCCTGTAATCCCAGCACTTTGGGAGGCCGAGGTGGGTGGATCACGAGGTCAAGAGATCGAGACCATCCAGGTCAACATGGTGAAACCCTGCCTCTACTAAAAATACAAAAAATTAGCTGAACATGGTGGCGCGTGCCTGTAATCCCAGCTACTCAGGAGGCTGAGGCAGGAGAATTGCCTGAACCCAGGAGGCGGAGGTTGCGGTGAGCCGAGATCATGCCATTGCACTCCAGCCTGGGTAACAAGAGCAAAACTCCGTCTCAAAAAAAAAAAAAAAAAAAAAAAAATTATGCTTTAAGTTCTGGGGTATGTGTGCAGATGGTGCAGGTTTGTTACATAGGTATACACATGCCATGGTGGAGAAACTACTGACAATTTTAAACAGCGCCACTAGTTTCTCTTGGCAGAGTGTGTCTTTTCAACATTTTTTTTTTTTTTTTTTTTTTTTGAGACAGAGTTTTGCTCTGTTGCCCAGGCTGGAGTGCAGTGGCGTGATCTAGGCTCACTGCAACCTCCGCCTCCTGGATTCAAGTGATTCTTCTGCTTCAGCCACCTGAGTAGCTGGGATTTTAGGTGTCTGCCATGATTCCCAGCTAATTTTTGTAATTTTAGTAAAGACTGGGTTTTGCTATGTTGGCCAGACTGGTCTTGAACTCCTGACCTCAGGTGATCCTCCTGCCTCAGCCTCCCGAAGTGCTGGGATTATAGGTGTGAACCACCATGACCACCCTCAACTTTTCACTATAATGGAAGACAAGAGACTGTTCCTCCCTATCAATTCCTAGACTTAACCAAAAGAGTCCTTGAATGTTACACTGTTAAGGGGCATGAATTTAAGAAGGGCAGGGAATAGGAATGATAGAAATGGCAGATGACACCTTCACCACACTCTCCTCTGTCTTGGGCTTTCCTCCCTTACTTGTTTGGGAGTCAATCAGAATTCAGCTCTGTCGCTTGATTAGTTATATGAGCCCAAACCTTTTCCTCCCATGCATGCTCCACTGCCTACTGAATAAAATATCAAATTTCCTACATTGTTATTTTCCACTTCATTTTTGGAATGAGGCAGAGTATTAATATATATATCTACCTCTCCACTGTATTTGACCCCATTCTATCTCTCCAGCCTCACTTCCTGCTATTCCTCTCTGTGCAGCCCATGCTACAACATTAGCATGCATCAGAATAATCTGGAGGGCTTGTGAGAACCCAGCTTGCTGCCACCTCCACCTCCACCCCTGCAGATTCAGATTTGGTAGATCAAAGGTGGAGCCTGAGACTGTGCATTCCTAGCATGTTCTTAGGTCACACACCTGGTCTGGGGACCACACCTTTAGAACTGCTGCCCTCGTCCAGCTGGACCTACTGCTCTTCAAGGAATTTCCACTTCTGTCGCCTTCATTCGTACTGTTTCTTTCTCCTGAAACAATCTGTCTCTGTTTCTGCTGGTAGAAATCCCAGCCACTCATTAAGTTTCAGTTCAAGTACCACCTCCTCTGTCAAGTATTACGTGATAATTTCAGCTTAAATTCATTGCTTTTTCTCTTCTGAACCACCTAAACACTTATCTTGCTTTCTTTTATGTTATTTATCAACCTCTACTTTGTAGTATGTTATTTGTATGTGGTCTTTTTGGCTCTGTGAGGCTACAATTCCCAAAAATAGGGTCTTTGAATCTTCTACAACAGGGGTCCCCCACCCTGGGGCTGCAGACCAGTACCTGTTAGGAACAGGGCCATACAGCAGGTGAGCAGTGGGTGAGCAAGCATTACTGCCTGCGCTCTGCCTCCTGTCAGGTCAGTGGTGGCATTAGAGCCTCAGAAGGAGCCTGAACCCTCCTGTGAGCTGCACATGTCGGGCATCTATGTTGCGTGCTCCACATGAGAATCTAATGCCTGATGATCTGAGGTGGAACAGTTTCATCCTGAACACCCATTTTCTACAAAACCAGTCCCTGGTGCCACAAAGGTTGGGGACCACTGTTCTACAGTAATTATCAAAGTGGCTGGTGCAGAATAAATGCTTTCAAATAGTCATCATTAAAAGAATGAACAAATAAGTGAATATAAATAGTCATTCTACTGAATTAGTCTGTGGTTTTTGTCACCTCTGTTACTAGTTTTTTTTAAAAGCATTCTCAAGTGCTTGTTATGAAAATCAATAATTTATTCTCTAATTTTTATGAAGATGAAATATATATATATCCATTTATAAAAAGCTTATGATCTGATTACTCAGACGAGACATACATAGGTGAAAAGTTAATTACTTTTCATTTTTGGAAGATTCATGCCAGGGGTCCCCAGCCTTCCCCATGCCAGCCACATAACAAGGAAACTTCACCTGTATTTATGGCTGCTCCCCATGGTTTGCATTCCCACTGAGCTCCACCTCCTGTCCATCATTAGAGGCAGTAGATTCTCATAGGAGCAAACCCTACTGTGAACTGCGCATGCAAGGGATCCAGGTTGTGTGCCTTTTATGTTAATCCAATGCCTCATGAACCGTCACTGTCTCCCATCACCCCCAGATGGGACCATCTAGTTGCAGGAAAACAAGCTCAGGATTCCCACTGATTCTGAATGGTGGTGAGTTGTATAATTATTTCATTATACATTACAATGTAATAATAACGTAAATAAAATGGACAATGAATGTAATGCACTTGAATCATCCCAAAACCATACTCTGCTGCCCCAGTCCGTGGGAAAATTGTGTTCTATGAAACTCGTTCCTGGTGCCAAAAAGGTTGGGGACCTCTGATCAACGCAATAAAGGATCTACAACTTAACCATTAGGTGAACTTTTAACATTTGCTGTTGAGCAGAGAAAGCACAATTCTTGTTGCCACTCAAACAGAATTCTGTCTTGGATTAATAATTTTTTCACCTATGTTATTCAGAAAATTCACAAACAAAATATAGCGGGGTGACATGAGAAATGTTAATGAATGTACTTTTTTTCCTCTGTGACCCCTACTTGCCCCATTAACCTCTATCTGTTTCTCACACCCACTTCAAGTAGGCCTGTAGATTTTCACTGTTCCAGGAATGGGAGCGGTGCAGGTTTTTAAGAATGGCAGCATTCTAAGATGGTCCCAAATCCCAGCCCCTGGAGTACACACACTTTATCTCAACAATTCAATCAAAAACTAGATGCTACTGGGAAGGGATTTTGCAGGTCATTAAAGTCCCAAATCAGCTAATGTTAAAAGATGGGCACTATCTGGGTGGCCTGAACTAATCATATGAGCCTGTAAAACAGATAGTTTTCTCTGGCTACTCACAGCAGTAAAAGTCAGGGAGATGTGTTCTGGTTGGCATGCAAGAAAGCAAACACCCATGTGGTAAACAGCCCTGGGACCATGTGGCAAAGAACTGTGGGTGGCCTCTGCGAGTTGAGAATGGCCCCTGGTTGACAGCTTAACGGAAAATGAGGACCTCAGTTCTATGGTAGCAAGGGAATGGGTGAAAAAGAATGAAGAGGAAAGGAGAAAATGAAAGAAGAAGACAATAAACACCAGATAAGAGCCACAACCTTCTCCAGCAATTTATTTCATCCTGGTAGGACCCTGGACAGAGAATCCAGCCAGAAACTGTGAGATAATCACTTATGTTGCTTTAAGTCCCGAAGTTTTAGATAATTTGTTATGCAGCATAGAAAATGAATATAGAAGCAAGGCTTGGAGCCCAGAAAGAGTGTGAATGCTGCTACTGAGTTAGTGACCAAAAGTGACTGTGTAGAGTGAGAAAGAATTGAGAGAGCCTCTGAGGCCAGATTAGCTTGAAGGACTGCACTCTGAAAGGAAGAGTGACTCTCTGGGGTATATGAAGATGCCATCAGAACAGTAACACAGTAACAATTTAAGCGCTTAATGGGTGGATGCCTGAGGGAAATTTCATGGAGTCCTCACATCCCTGCCTAATCCATGGAGAAGTGCCTAAGAACCCAAGAAAACTTGCTACATGTCAGTGGAAGCCAGAGTGTCAGATCCTGACTGAGAACCCGCCAGCTCCCCTGACTACCAGAAGCTCCAACAGCCTGTCTGATCTGGGGTGGCAGCCAGGAAGAAGGGGGTGTGTGGTGGGGAGAAAAAACCCTAAAAGATTGGACAATGACTGCATTTGGCTGGATGAACCTGGCGGGGACTGGATTAACTTTCTTACCATTTGGGAGAAATGGAGCCTTAATAAGAATAGTTAGCCCACTATAAGAAAAATGTTAAAGTTGCATATTTCCTGCTTGAGATTGTGACTATGAAAGTTGTACAGTCATAAATCATTCTCAATTTACAGAGACATCAAGGAATAGTGAAAAGGGCACTGAACCAGGTTACAGGAATTTGGATCCTGGCACTGTTTCTATTGTTGATTTTTAGGGTACCAGACATTCCACCTCTTTGGGTTTCAGATTCCTCATCAGCTCGTGAAAGGTTTGTATCAAATAATACCTCATGTCTACTCCAGCTCTAATACTTTTTCTCCTGCTAATGAATGGAGCAGGAATGTTTTTCACTCTCATTATTTAGAGTTTGGAATCCTTTAACCTGGTGGTCCAACAGGAACTGGGAAGTTTTGCTATCTGGCGGTTTGAGTGATGATAAAGTCAGTAACTGACAGATGAGCCCATGCTACAGTCATAGAGTCCTTAGGCACCTTACCTCACAGAGAGAGAGTACAGCCCGCTGGTCTCATTGCTGTCTCTGAGAAGGTAGCTGCCGTCACATCCATTTGAGAGGAGAAGTGCTTCGGCTGCATGGCGTGTGAGGCTGCCGTGATACCACCTAGAAAAGAGAGAACAGTGCTTTCACTCAGCCAAACCATGGCATGATGCCCCCCCCTGCACTGGCTTCTCCTTGCAAAGATTATCTAGCAATATTCCTCAAGATTAGCCCAGAGACCCAACTCTCAGCGCCAGCATCAGGACAAGGAAATCCCTGAGTGGGGCCGAAAGGAGAGCAGAGAGTTGACTAAGAGTAGTGTGACATGGGTTGAATTGTGTCCTGAAAGTACTTATGTTGAAGTGCTAACCTCCCAGCACCTCAGAATGTGACCTTGTTTGGAAACAGCATCTTTAACAAGTTGAAAGAAGTCATGGCCGGGCGCGGCGGCTCATGTCTGTAATCCCAGCACTTTGGGAGGCCGAGGAGGGTGGGATCACCTGAGGCCGGGAATTTGAGACCAGCCTGGCCAACACGGTGAAACCTCCTTCTCCACTAAAAACACAAAAATTAGCTGGGAGTGGTGGCGGGCACCTGTAATCCCACCTACTCAGGAAGCTGAGGCAGGAGAATCACTTGAACCTGGGGGTGATGGAGGTTGCAGTGAGCTGAGGTCATGCCACTGCACTCCAGCATGGAAACAGAGTGAAACTCCATCTCAAAAAAAGAAAAAAAGAAAAAAGAAAAAAACAACAACATGAGGTCATTAGGGTGGACCCTAATTTAATATGACTGGTGTCCTCTTGTAAAAAGAGAAAATTAGGAGACAGACTTGCATAGGGGGAGAACACCACATAAACATGACAGTCACTTGCAAGCCACGGGAAGAGGCCTGGAATAGACTCTCCCTCATGGCCCTCAGAAAGAACTGATCCTGTTGACACCTGGATTTTCAACTTTGAGCCTTCAGAACTGATAGGCCATCGATTTCTGATAGTCAGCTGCCCGGTCTGTGGAGCTTTGTTATAGCAGCCCCAGCAAATTCACACAGTATTGCTTTCTAATCAGAATTGTTTTTTAAAGTCCAAGTCAAAATCCCATAAGAATAGGCTTTGGCCAATTTCCTCCTCCATTTTTTGGTCTCTTGCACCCTTTTTCAAGTGTGTTACCTTTTCATGGGGAGACCTTGGAGCTATAATACTAAAGTCTATTGTCATGAGTGAAAAGAAGCTGGATGGAAGGAACCCAGATGTGTTGTAGTGCGAAGTAAACGGCATCAAGTATTGTTTCAGCCTGAAAAATATCTGAAGAACTAGGGAGTGCCCAAGGAGATTCAAATTGATCTTTGTGTTTTAGGAAAGGTAATATGTATCTAGGGTTAAAAAAAAAAATCCAAATTGTCCAAAAGGAGACATGGCGAAACATGTTTTCCTCATCCTTGGCCCTCAGGCTCCCTGCTCCTTTCCCAAGGACACCATGGTAACATTTTCCTGTACTTCCTATTAAGAGATAGTGTATGCACCTATCGGGATTGGGTGTGTACCTCCACTCTTGATTCAACAAACATATGAGCATTATTTATTATTTTTATTTTTTAGGCATATTGCTCTGCACCATCTTTCTTTTCACTAATGACAGGTCATTCACATTTTTTTAAGTGACGTCATGGAAACGTGCAATGTGATGATTAGGATTGTGGCCTCTGGGGTTGCTTTGCCTGGGTCCCAATCCAGGTGGTACCTCTTACTATCTGTATGGCCTTGAACATGTTACTTAACCAATCTGAGTTTTGATTCCTCATGTTTAAAATAGTATGAATAATAGGCATACCTCATAGGCCAGTTGTGATTCCTGCACATGTTAACGTGGGTGACGTGCTCCATAAGCCTGGTGACTAAAGCAGCGCTTAGTAGGTGTTAATCACTACCAGGAAGCCACTGAGACCCACAAAGCCATAACTTTCAATTTACCCTCTGTGGCACGATCTTCTTATTGCTCAGATATAATTTTTGGTTACTTTTTATTTAGATCAGATAACAGAAAGCTAGATAGCAGAGGCAGTTGTTGACTGCTAGGGTCCACAGTTCAGATCAGTGAAGATGAAAGAGAGACAGGCAATTATACTAATAATGTCAGTGTGATGAACTAAATGGTATTAGAGAGGTGTGTATAGTGTACAAAGGTTTTGAGGCATAGCCGTGTTCTGGCAGTAAGGGATCTTGTTGTCACGAACCACACTGGTATCCACTGTGACATCTCTGTGGAATAGAATTTTGGCCTGAGTAATAAAGAGTGAGTGTAAGTGCATCTGTGGAAGGAAATTTCTACATTGGTCTCCAAGATACTTGTTTTCTAAATCTGCATTTCCTAATGCATGTTTCTTAGCATATTTTATCTTCGGGGCCAAGATGCTTTCATCCTGTATTAAAAATATATTTGCTAGCTGAAAGCAATGGCATGAAACATTTTATAAAAATAATCAGAGAGCTGTTTACCCAAAGCAGCTCCATTCATTGAACTGATTGCCAGACAAGTTTAAATCTGTTCACTACAAAATGCTTTCAATGAACGATTGAAAAATTATAAGTGAAGCAATAATAAACTTCAAGTTCAACTGAAGCTAAAATTCTAATTCTTTTTGATATGTGAAATTGCCACAAGGTCATAAAAACTTAGATGTATTTTGCCAATAATTAATTTTATAATAAATATTTTGGCATAAGGTTCAATTTGAGCCAGAGACTGCTTGTTTAAACCAATATTTGATTCACAAAATTCCAAAATATTTAAAGGATTTGGACATTCCTTTGGATTATCTTCAATAGAATTGGAAGTGTGTGTTTAAAGCATTTATAGAATTTTTCTGACCTTTAATTATAGCCTGATAACAGTTTTTACTAAGAATGTTTTAATCATAATTTTAAAAATAATAACTAAATACCACAAATACATAAGAAATACTTGAGTATAATGCAAGAAGAATCACATTGTGCTGCAGTCTGGAAAATTCTTGGAGAGTGCAATTCCTTGTTGGCAGCTTTGCTTGAGTCAGTACTGCCTTTTCAGGATTTTACAGACTCCAGGGCCTGGGCAAGCCCAAGATACAGCTTTCCAGGCAGCCACCTACATGCCATGATGTCAGTGGTGTAATAAGGATCTTCATTCTCCAAATAGCTTTTCCACAAAAAACTAAATTTCCCCTTTTAATTAAGTTAAGCTTTCCTTTCCTGGAACATTTTGATAAGCATTATTTCTTCGATAGGAATGAATATATATCCTAATGACATTGTGTATCCTTTGTAGAAATATGTCTACCTTTGATAAGGATGATTCAAGAGTGTGTCCATAAAAGTTAAAAATAGAGTTAAGTTAGTAGTTTTCCCATAATCAACCTTTTCTACCTTCAATCTTTGCTTCAGTTCTGTGCAAGGCATTATTCTAGGCAGGTCAAAGGGAACAAAAATGGAAAAACTCCAGACTGTGTGGCAAGAAACCAATAATCTAGTCGGGAGGATAAGACAAGTAGATTGCAAGAGAGATACACAAGTATATCCAAGAGAGAATAAAATACCCAAGGGGTGTTCTAAGAAGGAGGATCAAAATCAGGTTCCATGAATGAGCCAACATCTGTATAGCCTTGAAAGATAATGGTTTTATTTTTAAGTGTCTATTACCTTTTATTCTGATTATAAAGCGTATGCAGTAAAAATTAAAATATAGACATGTAAAGAAGTGAAAGTATAAGTGTTTTACAGAAGAGGAAAGATGTGTTTCAAATAAATAATCTCGCTATTAACCAGAGAAATGCAAATTAAAATAATCTGATGTTTTTCTTTATCCACCAGATTGGTTATAATGAAAGGGTTAGATAGTATTAAGCATTGGAGAATTTGGGCAATGGTTGTTATTGTCCGTTGTTGCCAAGGGTCTGAGTTGGAGGGGAATTTGCACATAGGGTGTGACTGAACCTGCTCATATGACCAGTGATTCCACTTCTAGTTTCCCCCTAGTGAAACACCCACACATGAGCAGAAGGAAATATAAACAAGGGTGTTCACTGCAGAATTGTTAGTAAGAGTTAAAAATCTAGAGCCATCTTAAATGTCCACAAATATGGAGATGATAAATAAAGCTGAGTGCTAAAAGGATGAGATTATGTAAAAAGCTAACCAGAAGGGCCGGGCATGGTGGCTCATGCCTGTAATCCCAGCACTTTGGGAGGCCAAGGCGGGTGGATCACAAGGTCAAGAGATCGAGACCATCCTGGTCAACATGGTGAAACTCCGTCTCTGCTAAAAATACAAAAAATTATCTGGGCATGGTGGTGCGTGCCTGTAATCCCAGCTACTCAGGAGGCCGAGGCAGGAGAATTGCCTGAACCCAGGAGGCGGAGGTTGCAGTGAGCCGAGATCACGCCATTGCAGTGCAGCCTGGGTAACAAGAGCGAAACTCCATCTCAAAAAAAAAAAAAAAAAAGTTAACCAGAAGTGTTTGAAAAGCTGTGAGCATAGTTTTGGTTGCCAGGTAATGAGGGCAGGGAAATGGGGTGCTATTTTTATTTTGTAAGAGGGTTCCAGGGATACTTAACATCCTACCATCATACAGTTTTGAACAACCAAGAATTGTCTTGTTCATGATGTTAATTACACCCCCGACTGAGGATCCCTGAAGATGTGTGTATATACACACATACACCAAAGTTGATACATCCCTAAATATATTGCAAAGTTAGAGGAACTAGTTGCAGGCACCAAATGATATTACTTAGTTTTAACATGCTCCCCTATAAAAAAGCAAAAACACAAATTCACTTACATATTAAGATACTTAAAAACATAAAATAAGAGTTTTAAAAATATATACCAAATTCATAAGTATGATTTTCTTTGTAGAGGGAAGCAAAATTGGTTCAAAGGAGACTTTAAGGAAGGAACCAATTCAAAGGAACCAGAATTGTCAACAAAGGAGACTTAAGCCCCATCGAATTTTTCTAATTTAGCTTATTCTAATAAAAAATAGTTTCTATATAAATTGAGTAACTACAAATTTAATTAGAAAAAAAGAAAAATGCTAATTTTTTCCTTAATCCAACATCCAGAGATAACCCTATTAAAAATTGGCCT